CATAATTATGACATCACAGTTTCTTCTTCATGGACCTTATAAGAAATAGACTAACCCAAACGGGTTTTCTCCCCTCGTCTGATGCGTTGCCGGCTGTCACCTTGATCACATCCGGAGGAGTAGGGACGACTTGCAGAAATTTAACATTGGTTGCCTATTGCAGCGTATATAATTGTCAAGAAAAAGATGGTTGTAGCGCCTCATTTCACAAATTAGAATTTCTACATATTTTTATTTTTGAAATTGAGATTGATTTTTAAAAATTTAGCATATTTATCAAGCATAATTAACTTTCCAAATAATTATAAAGCTATGCAATGTTTTCAGGGCTGAATAGTTTTTTTAGATTTTCCTATGCTGTAAGGAAATTTGTAACTACTTCTTTTAGTGAATAATATTTAAATCTGAACTAATAGAAAATTTCAAACAAGCAATTTCTCTTGCAATTTTTATGCTTTTTATTGGTTGTAAATAAGTAAAAAATACTAAAATATTTAAAAACGAATTTTTTGAAAGTTTTGTTTTAAAATTCTAAATTGTGCTGCTTTTTTAAAATTATAGGTGAGTATTATAGTACAATTCCTGTAAAGGAATTTTATTTCAATTATATTTCATAATACATTATAGTGATAAACACTTTTGACTCCTTAAACATTTTTATACATTTAATTCTAACATAAAATTGTATTTAACCGTAATAATTAATTTTGCTTGTATTTTACAGTGATTATGTTTTTAATTTATTTCTAGTTCTACATAAGTTTTTTTATTTACTGTTAATTTAATTATTAGCCCAAAGGGGCGGTAGCATAGAAAGGATGTTAGTTTCGAAGCTGCATTTTGCGCAGTTTTACTATAAATGTCCGTGTCTCCTTGCAAATTGTTGTTACCAAATATTATCGCCCTGTATTATTCTTAAAGAAATTAAATAATGAAGAATCTGTAAGAATACATGTATGTTTCTCGCCCTGTGACAAAAACGACAGTATCTAGAGCCATCAAATTTTGAATAATGTAATCCTCCACCCGAACTGGGCATCTGGACGGCCGAATTTCGAATTTGTTTTAATCTATTTCATATTTTGTAAAACTTTAACGAATTTTTGATTCACAAATTCAACGAGTTCAAAGCGAGCACTAGAAATAACAGTTTTATCTCCAGTGCGGAAATTCTAAAAATATGCTGTTTTCAAATGTATGTGGTTTACGGGCGAAGAACATGATATTCAATAAATATAGGTAATACACAAAACTTTAAAAAAAGGTTCCTTTTGGGCGTAATATAAAATCTGAGTGCTTCTAGATTTTATTTTATCTTTTCCCCCCCTTCATTACGCTCAGAAAATTTTATGCTCCGAATTTTATGCATTATTAAAATAACTAATCCCCTTTAATGTTAATATAATCGTTTTGTTTAAATAAATATGATCGTTTTGTAATGTTATTATAGTTTGTAAAATCACTATACAACGTATGACATTTAATAATTAAAAAGAGTTATGTGATACAAACGCCATAGGTTTCAGTGTTAAAGTAAAGCAGATCATCCCTACTCTTTCTTGCCGACATGTCGGTGACACGCGCCCCGCCCACTGGGTTAGTCTATCTCTTATAAGGTCCATGTTCTTTTTACAAACACTACCACCATCTATTGGTAATCTAAGGATACATAGTCATAAACTTAAGAATCTATGTAATAATTCCGGAAGCACATAAGACCATTTTCACAATGTGTAGATCTCATTATCTTTATAAATAAGCTTTTTAATCTGAAAGCTTTCAGATTTTACATTACGCCCAAAGAGGCGATTTTTTTTAAAGTTTTGTGTGTTACCTTTATTTATTAAATATCATGTTCTTCGTATTTAAAGCATCAATTCAACAGCAACATCGCAAAATAATTTTAAAATAAACATATCTTTAGAATTTTCGATACACAGTCTCTCGCTGGAGATAAAAATGTTTTTTTTTTCGTACAGTGTTGCCATTCCTCGCTTTGAAATCGTCGAGTTTGTTAATCAAAAATTCTTCAACGTCTGACAAAATATGAAATACATAATAAAAAAAATTCCAAATTCCAAATTAGGGCTTTCAGATGCCCATATTCGGTGAAGGATTACGTTATTTAAAATTTGATGGTTCTGAATGAATTTGTGAAGAAAGATTCTTCATTATTTAATTTCTTTAAATATAATAATAGGGTTATAATATTTGGTGGTAACAGTTTGAAAAGTAAATGAACGCAAAATGCCAAAACGAAATTAATAGCCCTTCTGGGCAAGTAAAACCTCTATCCGAATAATACGAAATATTTCCATGTTATGTAATATGCATTACTTATTTAATATGCATATGGATAAAAAATATAAATATAATGCATTTATACTGCACGAGTGTTAAATAACACACCTACACGCAAAATATGTAAATTTTACATATATTCTATTTTTAAAACTGTGTAAGCATTTTGACAAATATTAATTTTTAACCTAATAAAATTAAAAATAGAATTGAAGAGATATTTGTATATTACTTCCTTGTATAAATTCTGTTACATGTAAATTCTAATCGCCTTTATTTCATTCCGTAGAACTAATGTTCCAGTAAAAAAAAAAAAAAAGAAATAGTTAAGTCATACTTGAAATTACGTCTATGTTTACAATGCTGAAAATGCCTTTAATGAAACACTCAATTCCGTTTCTTTCCACATCAAATCCCCTTAGGCAAGAAGCTAATTTTACAATATATTGATTGAAGAATGGGTAACAAAAATATTTAATTGGGCTTTTTTATGAGTTAAATAGCTGCCAATTATTAACGCAAAGCGGCAAAAGTAAATTAAAGTGAATTATCTTTTCAACCACTGTCAATCGATCGAGTCGCTGAAGTTGAAACAAAAACTTCCAGCGCTCACATACACATACACGCAGCAAGGAAAAAAAAAAAAAAACTAGAAGAGATGGTAATAAAGAAGAATTCTAGCTTTACTTCATGATGGGAATAAATAATGGATAAAAAATTTATTTTCGACGATCCACTTAAAAGAATTTTTGTTCAGAACCACGCAGAGAAGATAACGATCTTTTTCCACAATTTAAACTGCCAATTACGCTAATACAAAAGGAAAATACTACTACCTCGCATACAGCGCCATCTATTGAATGAGCAAAAAATCACGTTTTTACTGTTTTCTCTCCAAATAATATAATCTCTCTGCAGAGTCTCATCCATTGGAAAGGGAATTGCTTGTGTCCGTTGCAAAAGGATTATAATACCCACTAGGTTTGCCATTTTGAAAATATTTTTAACTTTTTCTTCTGCTCGTCTCGCGAGACTAATGTAACGAAGTTCCAACTTCGTTAAAGATCTTTTCTTTATGTGCTTTATTTTGGAACTTTTATTATAGATCAAACAGCCCATTATTGCGGATATGTTTTCCTTTTCATTCTTTTTTTCTCTCTTCTCCCCCTTTTTTTAAATCTTCATTTGTAAGGCTCTTTTTGTGCGCTTAAACTGGTAGTTAAATTAAGGGATTTATAAAAGAACATAATCATTGGAGCATTAAATGGGGAAAAGATAAATCTATAAAGATATTTTAAACGAAGGCACTTATTTTAAGAAGTTTTTGAAGAAGAACCTCATTTATACTGATAAAAATAGTTAGCTATTTTATAGATTATTAAACCTTCCTGTTCTTATGCATAATGGTGAGTGAAAATCACTAATATTTCGCTTGAAATATTTATTCCTAAAGCATTCCCTTTCTACTCTGCTCGCTTCTCAGTCAAATCTTTTCATTTCATGTTAGTCAATAAAAGCGTAAGAACTTCATTGTTTTAAATTCTTTTATTTATTTAAAACTTTTTAATATGTTTAATTTCTTTGCTTACATTTATATTTTACCGTCCCCACCTCACAGTAGTATACTGGCAGCAATAATAATAATGATGGTGCTAATCAATTGCCCCTATATTTTATAAGGATTAAAAACAGAGGGCCATGTTTTTAACTGAAATAATTGCTTAGAGAGAAAATGGAAATACATACCTTATCAGCTGATTGTAAATTTTTATTCAGATGTTAATGACTATCATTTTTAATACCACATTTCTTCCATTATAAAAGGCTATCGAGTGTAAGACATATTTATTAATTTCACCATTACCAATAGAAAAGTTTTAATTTTAAGAAAATAAAATAAATTAAGGAAAATACTGTATATAAAGCAAATCTGGCTGAGCGCAAAAACAGGCCCTGATTTCAAGATGTCATTTAGAACTGAAATATTTTAACTGAAATATCAATGTTAAATTAATACAAAATATTTTATATCTTTCTTATCAGAAATACTTACAAAATATTTCTTCTTTCTAGTTTTAATTTGGGAAGTTATATTGCAATAATATCGAAAATAGAGTTTACTCGGCAGCAAAGGAGCTAGTGCATGCTAGCCAAACTTGCCAAAACAAGCAGTTTAGGGACCTTTACACAGATTTCTGAACGACAACCAGATGAACCGATGGACAGGACTAGCTGAACCCAATGGTCAGCATGTTTGCACGTGGCATTCACGATCACCGGACTTAATCGTGAGTGGCTTTTACCTTTGGGAATCGTGAAGGATAAGATCTGTGTACCTGCACAACCTATAAGCCTAAACGATCTCTAGGACGGCATCCGTGTAGCTGTCAACTGCATTGCGTGGGATATGCTTCAAGATGTGTGGTTGGAGCTAGATTACCGGTTGAGATGCTTGCTAATAAGTGGCTCGCACATCGATTGTTTGTGATTCTAATCAATGTCATCAGAAACCTTTGAGTTTATGTAACTACTTATAGAAATTTGAGCAGGATATTCCATCTGGTATTAAAGTTCGTTCATTTCGAAATCAGAGACTGTTTTTGTGATCATCCTGTATTTTAACAAGCTATATTGACTTGTAATCAACAATAATATCCATATTTAAATTTATGATTTGAAATTTTTTTATTTTTTATTAGAAATATATCGAAACAGTCTGCAATTCTAAAACACCATCAATTCAAGACACATTCTAATATGTGGTACGAAAACATCTGCCTGGCGCAGTAGAGACGGCACAAAACATAAGAAAGGGAGGACAGAAACAAGGTGAGAAAACACTTTTAATATGTTTAGTATAGTTAAAATGTTGGGACGGTTTTGGGCGGTATACGAGGTAAATGGCGCTACGTACACCGAAACGTCAGCTGACGTAACATTTGAGCGGTAGCGCTCACCGCAGAGCTTTATTACATATAACTCACATTACAACCTTGATGTGGGTCTGCACCGGAGAACAACGTAACCTGAACATTGGATCGGTAGGAGTGGGCTGGTGTATTGGCCAGCAAGATCGCCAGACTTCCCTTGCACTACCTACTTCCTCTAATGCTAGGTCAAGACACTGGTATACGAAGCTCCCATTAATAGTGCTAAGGAACTTGTTGGAGGCATCGTGGCCGCTCCTGGAGAAGTCCGGTACACGCCCGGTGTTTTCCCGAATACCAGATCCTCCGTGCCCCATATGACTACCATTTTTAATTACAGTTTGTAAAATCCTTCAGCCCAAGAAATATGCATGCTAAATTATGCCTACATTTTTTATTTTCACTTAAATGTATCAGTTTTATGTAATTTTTAACTGTTTGTGTAATCAGCAAAGTGTGTGTTGGTAGGTAGGTAGGTATGGCGCGGTCCACCCTCCTGGCAAGCCCAAGCTCGCGTTATGGATTTTCTAGTCCGGCCACGAAGGAAAAACATATGGGACAACACAACATTAAGACATATGGAAGTCTCCAGAAGCATCCATATTGTGTGTTCTTTGTTATTGTTCTATTCCAGTTGCGATTAGTTTTTTTATTTCTTTCTATTATCTTTTTTTGCTGTTCTTTTTGCTTCATTTCCAGTATAAATCAGGTCTTTAAACTCCTCCTTGCTACTCCTAAGGTCTTTTGATAATTCACAATCTTTCGACTCCATTCAGTAGACTCCTAAGGTCTTTTGATAATTCACATAGTGCCTGTTATTTTCCAGCTTTTCGCATAGTATACAGTTTGCATTTTCTTAAACTTTTAATTTGTTTAGGTAAGCCGGGAATCTACCGTGACCTGAAATTCTGAAATTCTAAAATACCATCGATTCAAGACACGAAGGTCTTAATTGGTTATGATTTTCATTTTTTTCGAGATTCCAATGTTTTCTAAGTAGTCCTTTCTACAGTCTCAATCTCTCCAGTTTTGATTCCATTCTTTATATATATCTAGATCCAATTTCCTTACTTTCCCTTACTTTCCGTTTATATCCCAGACAATCTATTCGTTCAATATTTACCTCAGTAGCAGCACTGTCTGCTGGTATATGTTGTGAGCTATCTCACTTGCCGGACAGTGCATCAGAACAAACCCACGACATTCATCATGGCAAGAAGTACAAGATTGCGCCTGTCTTTGGCAAGAGCCTTTAACACCCTGCAGCTGACAATACGATTCTGCTCAGTTCCGCCCTCACTTTTGATGGAAAGAGACCCTTGGGATGGCTCCGAGGGGGTCTTCCATCCCTCTTCCATACCACTAACCTCTCTAGAAAACATTCTACTCACCGCATAGTTAGAGTGTCCCCATGCCGCACAGACTATATATATTTACAAATAACTGAGCCTTCTCCTGGATTGGAACCGGGGCCTTAGGGTACGGCAGTCAGCGCTGCTAACCACTGTCCCGGTTGGGCGGCTAAAAACTGATTGGGGCAGCTCTTGTTTTATGAAGACATTGTACGTAATTTATAAATCGATTTACTATTTTATCGCTTTTATTATTGTATCTTTATAGATATTTTCATTTTCTTAGTTTACTAAAGATCTATTCTTTTTCATTCATTTATAAAAAGCTCTAAGCGTGTTCTAATACTACCACTAGGACTTAATTTTTAAAATAAAAAGTACTGAAATTGTATAAAATGCCGAAAAAAGACGAGAACGCAAAATAAATGAAATGAATAAATAATGAAAAATTAAATAAATATAAAGGATAAAAATATTAATAAATAAAGTTAATAATAATTAAGTAAATAATGAGTTAATATCATAAAAATTAAGTGAAAAAGAGCAGACTGATAAGAAATTAGCATAAATCCAAAAATATGAAGTGAAATAGTTAAAGAACTCAAACGTAAGTATGCTCGTAATAATAAGACATGATACAGAGGATAAAAGTCAGTTTTTTTTCCCTTTCTCTCTCTCTCCTTTTTCCCCAAATTACCGGACGTATACTTCTCACACATTTGTTGAGAACACCCGATTAACTACATAGCCGCCTCATCTCCAAGAAAGTTATAAATGATACACTAGTTGGATTTATTTGATATTACGCTCGTGAGAAAGCGTAAAACAGGTAACTAACTAACATGGGATTCAGTCCCTTACTTTGTCATTCAGATTACAGGCAGCCTCAATAGACTAGTTTCAGTAGACTCATTCAAGGTTAGTAGTCATTAACACTAACCGCTATATAGCCAAGAGTAATGATAAAACCTCAATAGATTAGTTTCAGTAGACTCATTTTCACTACTCATTCAGTAGATTCATCAGTCAATAGTGCTAACCGCTATATAGTCCAGGGTAATGATAAAGCCTTAATAGACTAGTTTCAGTAGACTCTTCCAGGGTTATAGTAAGTAAGCGCTAACCGCTATATAATCCAGAGTAATGATAAAGCAAAATTAAATATTTTTGTTCAGAGGAAAACAAAAATGCACTTAATCGGAGTGAGAAGAAAAATATTTTACTTCGCACTGAGATTCATATATATTTTTATTTCGGCTTCTAATCCAATTAAAACATCTGACCAAACGACCATCAGACCAATCCATAAAAATTTCTTTTTGTGTTCGGGTTTTGACAGGGCAGATTTTCTTCCTCAGCTGATGCTGTGTTTCCACGCATTTTGATTTTTTTGTGAAAATTCCGTCGTTTGTTCTGTTTTTGGCACGAATATCAGTTTTACTAGCTGGTAAATAAAATATGGAGTTACTATTTTCTGTTAACAGTATTCTCCTTTAATACTGAAATTCAGATGCACAATGAAGTTTGATTTCTGATTTGAAGATCCAGTTCGCTCTAACTAAAATTAGGATTTCACTCAAAAAACTAAGAACCTCCAGATCCCGATGACCTCAGCGAAAGTTTTCATGTCTTAAAATAGATACTAATATCACACTGAGCTTGTTAAATTCATAACTTACAAATGATCCCGGCCAAAGTTAACCTTTTTTTAGCATCATAAACTAGTTTTCTTTCACTATGTAGTTTGAGTAAGTCTTGAGTTTTTACTTTTCCGGCACATATCCGTTATGTTTACCATTTTTAAATAATTATTATTTTCCACAGCATGATCAAAATAGAAATATCGGTTGAAATAAATCCTCGGAAAGACCCTCTGTTTCTTTTTCAGCTATGCTTCAAGTTTCTAAAAAACGATACTTTACTTGGTAACAGGCTTGATCAGCAGAATTTTGAAAGAAAGCCAGAAACAAGAATAAATATCTAAAATAAGCTAACTTTACCTAAAAAGCATTTTAAATCTAAATTTCGAAACAAAAAAACTCAGCTTTTCATAACAGTAATCTCTGAAACGTATTGTAAATTGCACTAAATTCAGGGATAAACAAAACCAGATCTATCTTCTTGCTTGAATGCTAAGCAGCATGCAATTAAGGAAAAACTGGTCAACCATCTGATGTTGCAGAGGAAAGGGGCGGTTAAATTTTTCTCTTTGCTCGCGCGACACAACGCTATATCATTAATGATGATGCATTATAGATAGCATGCAGAAGCAGATTTAGATAACACACAACAACGCCCTGGTTAAAGGGCATTCCCACGGTTTCAAGGAATACTGCGTAAAAGAATTCAGCGAGTGGTAGCATTGTCATTATCATGCGATCTGGATTCTGTAACAACTATTAGAAATACCAGTATCACATTAGACTTCACAAAATAGTTCAACAATTGAAAACAAACGAAGTAACTGAAGTTTACATCGACAATGTGACCGACTATTTATTCCATATCGTCGACTTAGCTGCTAAACAAAATCTCTAGTTCATCGAAGTTGATAAAATTAGCAAAAATGAATTATATCTGAATAGAGAATACAATTAGAAGTACGTGAAATTAGAGGAGACTTAATCTTCTTAGGCGAAACGAAGTACAGATATATTTTGAATTAAACTTGTGAAAATCGTATAATATTCAAAGCATGTATGAAGATAATATTAAAACTATCGAATATGGACATAATGAAATTTCAATTAAATCTTCAAAGATAAATTTGAATGTATGCAAAGAGCTCAAGAAGAAGAAACCAGAGGAAGTTCATATCAAACTTTGAGAGACTATTAAAAGAAGAAACAGAAATACTGTATTTACGATGGAATCTCGGGGTGAAATTATTCGCTTACATGAAAAACTTGAAGAAGAACAAAACTGGAAAGTTACAATTAAAATGAAAAGGAAGCCCTGTATTTTCTTCGTGCCACGCGATGTGGTTAGCGAAATCATAGCTAATGTTCTAAAGATTAATTTGTAAACGAAGACAGAAATTTCGTGAAATATCTTTCTAAAATAAAAATATCCTTAATGTACATATTGCCTTAGAGCTTTTATTATTTCACCCCGATGTCAAATTAAAATAGTTAAGGAGAGGATTGTAGAACTGCGTATTCTGGGAAACTATTCTTCCGGACCAGAAGATGTTAGGCATGTTGTTTTAATGCATGGCAGGATAATCTGCCCGAATTGCGCAGAATCGCATGAAGTCAGGAGCCGTAAATGCGAATTGCTACGTTCCGAAATAAAAAAAAGGGCCTTAGTGCAGATTTTACCCATAGAGTTTTTATTATTTCACCAAGATATCAAGTGGTTAAAATAGTTAATGAGAGGATCGTAGCAATCGGTTGGATTACATATTCTAGGAAACTATTCTGACCAGAAGATGTTAGACATGTTGCTATAATGCATGATAAGATTATATTACGCAGAATCGCATGAAGTCAATACCTGTAAGTGTGAAGTGCTACGTTTCGTAAATTGCCTGACTTCAGATACGAATATATT